TCAGTAAATAATCGAATCTGGATTAGACAATCCTATGATTGGCATCATGAACATCGGTCTACGCAATTGGGAAACGATGACGTGCAATCAACGCGCGCCTGACCACCCGATCCATTAAGTCGCCTCTTACGACAAGCTGGGGGCCTATCTTGTTACCCGGATCCGCCGCATATGGAGAGTACAACTGTAACAATCTGATATATGAAGGCATAGCACGCCCACCAAAATACTGAACTACCAAGGTAGTATTAAAATTTGCAAGACACATGTAAACCTCGGAAGATCGGCTCACACGTCGCATGTTATATACGTACATGTAAATATCGCCGGATCTATTTAAACGTTGCAAGAATTACATGTTGACTGAAAGCGTCCATCGCTAATTACTGGAACCTGCGTTCAGAACCAGAATACATCTGGAGCTCAGGCATTAACAGGGAAATGGTTGCGCTCTTTATTTCAATCATTCCATTCCTGTAACTGTTATGAAGTAACTTTTGATTTTTAATCGTTTGTTTTATATCATCGTTTTTCATTAGGAAATATGACATCATTGGTGCTAACTAATATATACTACACAAAAGAAGTTAAGAACACCTTTGTTTTCACATGACTATAGTTGATCTGTCATGGCCATGGGAGACTAGTCATTGAAAACATCGGGCGTTCTTTCACTGCTTTTGAGCATTATAGATTGGCTGAAGGTGGACTCTGTGTCTATGAACCTGGTGTTATGAACCAAGTACACAACTACACGAGTACTGAAATCAATCAATCTTCATAACAAAAGCACTGAAAGGCCACATACCTATAGTACATATCTTTGTATAGTGGGTGGTGATATTGATTTCTACTAACTTAAGTCACTCATATTATCTTTTCTACAATATTCATTGCATGGAAAATATACGTAGTCAAAGGCTCCGGTACATTAATATGTATCGAAGGCATTAATTCATTTAACTTTAATACATTTGGAAATTGGTACATTGATGGGTGTAGGTATGCAATTCGTAAATTCTGATAAAATGGACGAATGAGAACAAGATGGTACTCTTCCTCAATTAGCTGTAGATTACACAAATCTAGTTTCCTTTGGGATTTTGGAATATCTTCCCGTTTCAATAATTTATTCATGTGATGAGCATCTGAATTTAGAAAATGCAATTCTATATTTGTACAAGAGTGGTTTCAAAAGGTATTTCGCAGTTATAAACTGTGTTTTAAACAAACTAAAGTACTGACATTTTGACGATAAAGCTAACAAACAATACCACTTTTGTATGTATGTATCTTTGAGACTTTGTGTACACAATTCAACAAAATGCTCAGGACAATCTCCTGAAATAGCGGACAGGGGCATCACAATTGTTTGTAAATGTGTAGACATCCCACTATCTGTCAACACAAAACTCTATTAAATAAGCTAGGAGTTGGCTGTGGTAAAAGGCAAAGGCAACTCATGGTATGTTTATGTTGTCAAGAGGCTGTCTGGAAAGGATTTTAAATCAATTATAAACTTATGTAACGGCCTGATCACTATCTGTCTGGGTGTACTGTAATCCAACTCATATCCGGGAACAGCGAAGTGTCAAAACACTAATTGAATTTACTTTGAGAAAACACGTGAAATAATAAAATGACGGTTGAAACTAACTGTTAATGTGACTGTTTTGGACAAGAAACAGGAAACACTAATTAAATTTGAATTATCGGTTCACCAAACTGTGTGGGTAATGTTATTTACATACATTCAAAACATCTGAGTGAAAATACCTCGCATCTAAGTATCAGGGTTAACATTAATGTCAGTTATTTAGAGTACTGCTGCATCACTCTTTAAGCGGTGTTCTGTTGCATGTACCCACACTTAGAACGCCCCGCCGAACACCTGTAGCCACACATCTTGTGTAACGCTACATATTTTACTAACGGGGAAACACCCTTTCCGCCCTTGAGACTATTATACCACTTCCAGACTGCTCGTGTAATGGTTCGGGAAGAGTTGCCTCCCCTGTTTGATAGTGGTATTTTACTTCCGCTTGTTTTCCTCACGACTACGACGTTGGGTTGTTGGGCGGTGTCAAGTGGAATAACCCGAAGCGGTTTTCGCGTTTTGGTATGAAGGTACGAAAGGGGGAAATTGTACTATCATAAAACATAATAATGTACGAGCGTAGACGTTAACAACTGTGGTGAACCACCCGCGCCGGTATGATGATGGACGAATCAGAACGAATCTGGAGTTCAAACACAAAAATCAGCGGATCCTTGCGTTACAAAGGGATGTAACTCTTCACAACGAATTGGACAATTTACTTCTGTTTTGACGATTGAATTACTCATTGTTGTTAATATACCCCGCTTACAATCACCAGACCCGTGTAGATCCGTGTTAGAATTATTATAGGTCTTCAGCAACCCAGGCGACTATGCTTGTCGTAAGAGGCGACTGACGGGAAGGGCTGGTCAGGCTCGCTGACTTGGTTCATGCATGTCATCGTATGGCAATTGCGTGGATCGATGCTCATGATATCCATCATTGAATTGCCAGGTCCAGATTTGATTATTTACAGATCTCCGTCATATAGCTGGAATATTGCTGTGCGGCGTTAAACAACAAACCCCATGTAGAACCGCCCGTTCTTGGTTCCACTTCTGTCGTCACTTACTGTAAGTCTTGAAGTCAAAGCAACACTCCACGCGGGTGTCTGGGAAACCACTCCTCGCTGAGCAGTTTGTGTAGTGTTTCTTCAGTGTTGACCCAAGATGTATAGGATGTTGGAGTTGCAATGAACGGAGTAATGGAATGTTATGTTTTCGATTATCAGTAGATGTATTTCTAACATACATGTGTTTATCATGGTGTGTTTCAAGCCTGAACGATAAGTAGTATTTACATGTTTCACACATTAACGTTTATTTCTGTTTACATCTACCTCAAGCATGAACATATTCATTGCATTTACATTTGTTGCAAGCAAAAACGTTTACTTCTGTTTATATCTGCCTCAACCATGAACATATAAATTGCATTTACATTTGTTGCAAGCAAAAACGTTTACTTCTCTTTACATCTGCCTCGACCATGAACATATGAATTGCATTTACGTTTGCTGCAAGCAAAACGTTTACTTCTCTTTACATCTGCCTCAAGCATGAACACAAGAAATGCATTTACATTTGTTGCAGGCAAAACGTTTACTTCTCTTTACATCTGCCTCAACCATGAACATATGAATTGCATTTACGTTTGTTTCAAGCAAAACGTTTACTTCTCTTTACATCTGCCAAAACCATGAACATATGAATTGCATTTACGTTTGTTGTAAGCAAAACGTTTACTTCTCTTTACATCTACCTCAACCATGAAGACATGAATTGCATTTACATTTGTTGCAAGCAAAAACGTTTACTTCTCTTTACATCTGCCTCGACCATGAACATATGAATTGCATTTACGTTTGCTGCAAGCAAAACGTTTACTTCTCTTTACATCTGCCTCAAGCATGAACACATGAAATGCATTTACATTTGTTGCAGGCAAAACGTTTACTTCTCTTTACATCTGCCTCAACCATGAACATATGAATTGCATTTACGTTTGTTTCAAGCAAAACGTTTACTTCTCTTTACATCTGCCAAAACCATGAACATATGAATTGCATTTACGTTTGTTGTAAGCAAAACGTTTACTTCTCTTTACATCTACCTCAACCATGAAGACATGAATTGCATTTACATCTGTTTCATACATTTACGTTTACTTCTGTTTACATCTTCCTCAAACTCGAGCATGTAAATTGTATTGGCACTGTTTAAAGCATGAACATATTTGTGCATTTATTTCAAGCATGATCATTTACTTTTTTCCCCGTGTTTCAAGCAAGAACAGTATGTTATACCTGCAAATTAGGCTATAATTTACACCAGTGTGGGTTGCGTTTCATGAAAGCACTTGTCATCACAGGAACCAGCACCAATATTGCAGCTGCATTCGTACGTTACCCTGTCTGGCGCTCGGCATTTAGTGGATAAAACAAACACTGGTCCGCTCGGAGTCAATATACACTGTGTCTGAGTGGGGTATTCAAGTTAAACTCAAGCGGCATGGTATCTCAGTGTGTTAGCACTATAAATCGGCAGTACATGTACTAGTACAGGTACAAGCAGACACAAACACACGTCGCTATATAAGTTAAATAATCTTGGACGCGACGTTAAACCCCTTTTCACCTCACCTCACCCAATACGAATATGTCAAGAACATACGCCTGTTGTTGGCAGAGGACGTACGTTTATATGACGAATGTTCGCTCGATGTTGGCTGAATACGTACGAATATCTATTGTTGACCTTAAACAGAACAGTTTGCATTTCACAACTTTTGAGGTACAATCGAGCATGTTCTTTCTAATAAGATTTCAAAAAGCGTCATAAGATTCAAAAGTGGTGCTTGATCAAGGCTACAACATTCAAGGCCCCAGTAAAGCTTTCCAAAAAAATAATCATGGTAGCCATGAGGAGGACATTTCCAAATTGGACGCATGTGTGACAAATATGATGTCCGATGCAATTCACTATTTTGACTTGTACCACTGTTCATTCATAAACAGTCGACATCGTACAACTGAATCTGATTGTAACAGATATTTCTTATGGTTGTGGAAACGGTTCTGTCGCTTACATTGTGAGGTGTATTCATTAAGTAACACTAGCGAGGAAAGTTTTGATATTAAAATTAAATTAATTGAAATTCCTTCCATAAGTACAAAGAAATGAATTTGAGAGTGATATACAGGTAGGTGAGATATGAAGAAATATGAAGGAAACGAAATCCAGATATTGATTGTTTTAGGCAGCACATACAAGTTCTTGTTAGTCATAGAGTTCGTTGACATCCTGTGAACGAATTTCGTCGCCATGATAAACTGAAACGTTGCTGATGCGGCGTTACACAACATTCACTCATCCACTAAAAATAACTTCGAACGCAGCGCTTGGATAAAATTCTTTATTTCAGTACATATCAACGTAAGAAAATATGATTAAAGATGAATGTACGTGCGACAGGGAACTGACAAGTAATGCAAGGTGGATGTCTTTGTGTGTAGAAACACATCCTGACGTCACACCTTTCCTCCTTTGACGGCTGGGTTGTCTGGACCGCCCGTTACACAGTATATGATTACACGCTTTGGGGAAATAAGCCCTCAAAAATAGTATTGAAACAAGATAGCTTGAAATACCTCCATAGTTGCCTCGCTGTGTCGTACCATTATGTCACGTGTCACTAGTTATCCAGAGTACCAAAAGATCAGGATTAGAAAATATCTGCTAATTGATAATTCGCTTTTCGTTACTTTTACATATTGCGAAATCGCGTTTTTCCTAAATGTAAAACTCAGAAGTCACACTTGTAGCAATATTTAAAGCCGTATATTTAAAGCCATGGAATTACAATGTAATAAATGCATAAAGTTACTCTGAAGTCACTGCCATTGATAATACACACCGATCTGTAAATATTGTCAATGGTAATACACACAGTAGCTTTGTAAACATTGTCAATGGTAATACACACAGTAGCTCTGTAAATATTGTCAGTGGTAATACACACATTAGTACCGTAAATATTGTCAATGGTAATACACACAGTAGTTCCGTAAATATTGTCAATGGTAATACACACAGTAGTTCCGTAAATATTGTCAATGGTAATACACACAGTAGTTCCGTAAATATTGTCAATGGTAATACACACAGTAGTTCCGTAAATATTGTCAATGGTAATACACACAGTAGCTCTGTCAATATTGTCAATGGTAATACATGGTACCTCTGTAATCACGGTCAATGGTAATACACACAGTATCTCTGTCAATATTGTCAATGGTAATACATTGTAGCTCTGTAATCATTGTCAATGGTAATACACTCAGGAGCTCTGTCAATATTGTCAATGGTCATACACTGTAGCTCTGTAATCATTGTCAATGGTAATACACACAGTAGCTCTGTCAATATTGTCAATGGTAATACACAGTAGCTCTGTAATCATTGTCAGTGGTCATACACACAGTAGCTCTGTCAATATTGTCAATGGTAATACACTGTAGCTCTGTAATCATTGTCAATGGTCATACACACAGTAGCTCTGTCAATATTGTCAATGGTAATACACTGTAGCTCTGTAATCATTGTCAGTGGTCATACACACAGTAGCTCTGTCAATATTGTCAATGGTAATACACTGTAGCTCTGTAATCATTGTCAATGGTCATACACACAGTAGCTCTGTCAATATTGTCAATGGTAATACACTGTAGCTCGGTAATCATTGTCAATGGTAATACACACAGTAGCTCTGTCAATATTGTCAATGGTAATACACACAGTAGCTCTGTCAATATTGCAATGCAAATGTACAGACATGCTCCGTTGTTATTTCCATTGACATCTCACAGACACTTTGGCTTATAAGATGACGGCGAGTGGTGGTTTTGTCATAAGGTATCCGGGTAGATATCCTGGTAAATCCATTGCTACAAAGGGACACACAGACAGGTTGGCTTCTTTGGGGCAATAAATTTTGTACGCAATGCTGTGTATCTCCTCAACACACGGCCCACGAACAGGGTGGGAGTGGAAATAGATTTCCGATGGATATGAGTGAATAAGAGAGTGAGTGATAGAGTATTGTTTTACGCCGCATTTGGCAATATTCCAGCAATAGCACGGCGGGGTACCAGAAATGGACTTCACACACTGTACCCATGTGCGGAATCGAACCCGGATCTTCGACGTGACGTGCTTACGTTTTAACCACTAGGCTAGACACCGCGATGTTCGATATATGTCGTACATATGGTCGAGATGGCACTAATCCACTGTATTTGACAAAGATAAAATTCCTAATATCGAATTAAGAAAGACAGTATCGAGATACCATCATTTTGTTCGAGTTGACGACATCGTAGACATAATGTTGTTCCTGTCGCGAAAACATCGATAACGTTGAGATAATATAAATATTTTCTTGATAACATTCATATGACATTGATATTGCTGGGTTAACAATACTGTTGTCGAAAAAACATTCATAAATTGTCGAATTAACAAAGCTATTGTCGAGATAACATTAATATGGAGGAGAAGGCAGTTAGTCGTGAGGTACCTTTGAACAACACGTCAATAATATTACATTGCAAAAATAGTTATGAAAATGCAGAAAATACACATGGTGGTATATTTCACAACAAGGATAATCATATAAATGTATAGGTCATCGTATGTACATTTGATAAATTTTTATAAAAGTACAGTGAAATATTAATTGCAACACACCAATAATTTGATTTGAGCAACAGAATCACACACACTCAGATGCAGGTAGTCCCACTGCCGGGACCTGTCTGTGGAGATGAATGACCTCGACCTTCACGTATGGGAGATTTAGATTGTTATGGAGATATTGTCCAACCATGTCCCTTTTTCGTTTTCAGCTCGAGACTACTAATGGCTGATCCTACAGAAAGACATATATCTCGTAATACCGCAGTGGATTTTCACATCTTTCAGTAATAAAAGTTGCGACCGACGGGTATTAATGTTTCTACTGCCTAAAGCGCTGCCCAAGCTGACATACATATCTGACCGCTTTAGTATCGGGTAACGTGGTATACTACGGATAATTTCTACCAAGCTAAACGCTTGTCGCCAATTGTCGACGGTCAAACAATATGGTACTCATCTCGCGCATGCGCAGCATCGTTAATTTCGAATGTCAAAAAATAATGTCTGCACTCCAAGGGGTTGTTTTGCGCGATAAACGATAAAACAAACTGCTCTGCTGGCGTTAATTACGACGAAAGTAATTATATATTTCACAACAAACTTCACCACGCCTGCTATTCGGTTTACGAGAAATCGGCCACCGCCTGTCTCATCGAAGTCATCAGCCCAGTCAATTCTCTTCTAGCGCTATCTGAACGTACCTATCCCATGTAATACTGAAGGTACACAGTGACTCGAACCGCCACGGATTCTCACGACGTACTACCTACAGTTCGGAAGTTCGGCCTCCTGTCATGTTGGTATAATATTAGCAGGTACAACAGCAGGGGACGTCCATTAATGAAACGTTTCTGATTGGCTGTTTGTGTGGTTGAGATAGATCACGTGATTACCTCAAAAGGCATGTACACAAAAGGATTATGTAGAAATGGAGAACGATTTGAAGCAATAATTCAATGAGAATGAATAAATGAAGTGAAAATTTAAATAATGTTTTACATGGCACGTGTTATATATTTGAAAATATGTAAATAATTAAAACATCAATGGCATAATCATATAGACAGAAGCACAGCCCCATTTACCATAGTCCGTAGTATTCAGTCACAGCAAACATTCCAACAGAATATTGTCTTCATGCAAAACAAACAATAACAATTTGTAAATATTTCACGGGACAGTTCAAATTCTATAACACCCTGTTACTCTGTATCTTAAGTAAGAATAATACTGAAATCATTTATTAGTTTATAAGCAACAGTGGGTAATACGGACAAATTAATGTAAATATTCCCATTGCAAATAAAAGATGAGTTTTATATACAAAATGTTTTTGTATCATACTTATTTATATATTACATCTCTTAGTGTTATTAAAGATTCACTTGAGACCATAAGATGATCCTTAATAGGTTATGGAATTAGAGTTAACGAGTTTTAGTTGTACAATAACATAATCCATTTGCATGAATTTGTAGGTTGGTAAAGATAGGGTGTTTAGAAGTCGATAATATCAAAACGATAATATAGAAATTGTTTATGAAGCTATATAAATTTGCATCAAATCAACTAACGTATATACACCAACATATTGAAAACGTACAAGGAAAATTCCCATTACTTCAAAAACAATCAGAAGCATGCAAACATATAATCCAGTTGATGTCTTCAATTCAAGACTGCAGAGAGGGTAAGCTTAACTGTTGGCATAATTTGCATATACCGATCAAGGTTGCATACTGGCACATTTCAAGCCTCGGTGGAAAGATTGCAGCTGTAGTTCCGCGAGAGCAACGAGAGTTGCCTCCCTTGTGCTATGAACCTAAGGACACATTCGTCACCATTCGTATCTTTCTGTGACCTTCAAAAAGGCTCTCAGTGCCACCATAAGTCGATACGACGCAAGCCAATCGAACGCGCGGCAGGATAGGAGTACTTTTGATCAATATAATCCCGATTATTTCATTCTTATTTTTTTTGGCAATATGAGTTTATTTTTTTAAAGTTGTACATTGTCAGTTTCACACTAGTTCACATGGCTGCCCCATTTAATTTGCCTATTGACTTCAGTTTAATATCCATTTTTATAATATACCAAGAGTTTATAAATGCATTGAAAAATTTGAACTTATCATGTACCTGTTAAACCCTAATCATATACTGTTTCTCGACAACTATATGGCTGTGAATGTTTTCTGAGGAATGACCTCACATGTATGATTTTATTCCGCCATCTCTTTAATGAGTAGGTGAGTATTGTTTTACGCCGCTTTTAGCAATATTCCAGCAAAATACGACGGCGGACACTAGAAATGGGCTTCACACGTTACCCATGTGGGGAATCAAACCCGGGTTTTCGGCGTGACGAGCGAACACTTTAACCACAAGGCTACCCGACCGCCCCTTCACCGTAATAATGGTCTGTGACACAGATACGACTATACACAGATGTGTATATGTAGGGGTAACTTAGTGAACCAGATAACCCACCCAAGATATAATACTCCCTATTAGCAGTATAATCCGTTATAGATATATTACACTCACCGATGTTTTAAAAGTGATATTAAAACCCACCCACAAAAACATTAACCATTAAACTTTGGTTTTGAAAAAGTGAATTATCTCTGTATTTCAGTGATGTTGTGACTGATAATACACATCTTATTTGTACCCCGGTCTGATAGTCCTATCTATAGACAGTTATACAACAGTTGGGCCAAGTGTCTAATCTCAGCTGAGCTGACAAACCTCTTGTGCAATTTTCTTAAAACATCTTTGTAAATGTATCCTCAATCAACATTAACAACTAAACTGAGAATTATAAACGCAAAGACACATGAGAATCAAACGAATTATTTCTTAATTTGTAAAATCAAACTCTTGCTCCAACATATATTACAATAAAAGGAAGCTTTCGTATGAAAGCGAGTATTAAATACTTACAAGGGTTAATAGAAACCTAATGCTATAAATGATAGGGATTTTATCTTGTTTTTGAATTTGAATATATATTCTGTCTTTAAAATCCGTAAGTGACTATGTTATTTCCACACAGTTTATACAATTATATACGGAATCTACCCAAACTGCAGTAGTTTACACCCAGCACATGTACACAGCTGCATGTCTTACATGAGTAAATGAGATTGTTTTTGTTCCTTTTTCATTACATCTCAAATTATTGTTTTCTTTCAACGAGCGCTGATTATACGTTTCTTGTTTAACGCCGCACTCAGCAACATTCCAGTTATATGACGGCGGTCTGTAGACAATCGAAACTTGACCAGACCAGGTTATTGATATTGTGAGGAATGATCCACGCAATCAATCAAGTCACCGAGCCTGACCACCCGATCTATAACCATGGTATTTACAATGATATTACGACATTGTTGGGACATATAGATGCCCTTCAAAATGGTTTAACATGATGATACTTTAATAATGTTTGTTAACTATTTTATAAGAGTGTCCATAAAAAGACAGACTTACTTAGTCATGAAACAGTTGTAAGTTGTAAAATGCCGCTTCAAACAAAGAGAACACAAAATCAAAATTGCGATTCGAAGCTATGTTAAACAAATTCATAATGTGATTTATTTTAAATGGAAAATAATCATAGTATTATCAGTTTTCTCCCCACATAATTTTAAATTCGTATTTAGAAAAGTAATAATTTGTAATCATAAAATGAGAATAAATGAATTACACGTTAAATGTACAATTTAACAGAAGGATATTTTTTTTTATATATCAGAGAGGTTCAATACTTTTTTAACACAGGACCAGGCCTACAATGTTCAACAGGCGCGGTCAGAACAAGAGTTATCGTTTTGTTTGAAGTGGTTCTGGTGTCCTTTCGCCAATATAGGTCTCTTCGCGAAGGGCACGAGTCGCCGTTCGGCTTGTCACGGAATGGCACGAGATGGTCACGAATGCTAACGACGCAAAGATCAACGAATTTGAGGAGATATGACCGGTTTTCTTCTGATGAATTACACGAATGTAACATTAATTAATACTTTTCATTCTAAAATTAGACGTCGATGTCATTATAACACTACGGTCAAATTAATATGTTAGAAATTTTGTTTGGGGCAACAATCCGTTGCTTTCAAAGTGAAAAATCCCCGCTGCGGTGGTAGTACAAGGGAGGTAACTCAGGAGGAACAATGTCAACACAACTCCTCTCGTGGCGAGAGCGACAATGTCAGTTGTGAAGGTGAAGGTCAACAAAGTGAGAGTCCCTCAACATAGTAGGAAGAAGAACACAAGGCACTGCAGGGTACAGCGACAAGCTGCGCACGCACACAGATCACGTGGTCAACTCTCTTGCAAGGAAGACTATTTCGTAGACGTTGCTGTCGCCGTCCAAGTGTTGATGAAATCTGAAAGGAAGACCATAAGCTCCATTAATATGTGATGTCGTAACTGTCATCATTATCACCAGGTGGTCGTTAAGTGTTTAGTTTGCATCGTTATATATGTTGTTGAGTTATTGCATTGTTGGAGTAGGGTTTTTAACCACTTTGGACAATGTGAACATAAAGAGAAGAAATGTTTATTAAAAACTGTTTATTATTCGTCCGTTATAAGAGAAGACATATGTTTGAATAATTTTTATTATACGACTATGTGAATGAGTGAGTGAGTTTGGTTTAACGCCACTTTGAACAGTAGTTCAGTTTGATCACAGCGTGTCAGTTTTAGTGATGTTGGTCGAAGATCCAGAAATCCAGAATCATGAGTATGGTGCTAACGAACCTGGAAACATTTCATGTGATACAGTATTTAACAATGTATTCCTACGCCTACGTAAAACGTGTTTTTGAGCCTTTCGCACGTGCACATGAAAGAAAATGTTTTTTTCTCATAATGTGAGTATTTTAAAGGAAGTTGCTGTGCACCTGGTCCGTCTAAAGGCTGAATCACTCATAACGCCGCTATTCTAGCACCCCGACTCACCTTCATAGTTCACCCTACCGTCGCTATTCTAGCACCTCGACTCATCTTCATAGTTCACCCCACCGTCGCTATTCCAGCACCTCGACTCACCTTCATAGTTCACCCTACCGTCGCTCTTCTAGCACCTCGACTCACCTTCATATTTCACCCTACCTTCGCTCTTCTAGCACGTCGACTCACCTTCATAGTTCACCCTATGTTCGCTCTTCTAGCACCTCGACTCACCTTCATAGTTCTCCCTACCTTCGCTCTTCTAGCACCTCGACTCACCTTCATAGTTCACCCTACCGTCGCTCTTCTAGCACCTCGACTCACCTTAATAGTTCACCCTACCTTCGCTCTTCTAGCACCTCGACTCACCTTCATAGTTCTTCATACCTTCGCTATTCCAGCACCTCGACTCATCTTCATAGTTCACCCTACCGTCGCTCTTCTAGCACCTCGACTCACCTTCATATTTCACCCTACCTTCGCTCTTCTAGCACCTCGACTCACCTTCATAGTTCACCCTACCTTCGCTCTTCTAGCACCTCGACTCACCTTCATAGTTCTCCCTACCGTCGCTCTTCTAGCACCTCGACTCACCTTCATAGTTCACCCTACCGTCGCTCTTCTAGCACCTCGACTCACCTTCATGGTTCACCCTACAGTCGCCCTTCTAGCACCTCGCCTCACCTTCATAGTTCACCCTACCTTCGCTCTTCTAGCACCTCGACTCACCTTCATAGTTATCCATACCTTCGCTCATCTAGCACCTCGACTCACCTTCATAGTTCACCCTACCGTCGCTCTTCTAGCACCTCGACTCACCTTCATGGTTCACCCTACAGTCGCCCTTCTAGCACCTCGCCTTACGTTCATAGTTCACCCTACGATCGCTATTCTAGCACCACGACTCACCTTCATAATTTACCCTACCGTCGCTATTCTAGCACCGCGACTCACCTTCATAGTTCACCCTACCGTCGCTATTGAAGCACCTCGACTCAGCTTCATAGTTCACCCTACCTTCGCTATTCTAGCACCTCGACTCACCTTCATAGTTCACCCTACGGTCGCTATTCTAGCACCTCGACTCACTTTCATAGTTCACCCTACGGTCGCTATTCTAGCACCTCGACTCACCTTCATAGTTCACCCTACGGTCGGTGTTCTAGCACCTCGACTCACCTTCATAGTTCACCCTACCGTCGCTCTTCTAGAACCTCGACTCACCTTAATAGTTCACCCTACCTTCGCTCTTCTAGCACCTCGACTCACCTTCATAGTTCACCCTACCGTCGCTATTCTAGCACCTCGACTCACCTTCATAGTTCACCCTACCGTCGCTATTCTAGCACCACGACTGACCTTCATAATTTACCCTACCTTCGCTATTCTAGCACCGCGACTCACCTTCATAGTTCACCCTACCGTCGCTATTCAAGCACCTCGGCTCACCTTCATGGTTCACCCTACCGTCGCTCTTCTAGCACTTCGACTCACCTTCATAGTTCACCCTACAGTCGCCCTTCTAGCACCTCGCCTCACGTTCATAGTTCACCCTACCGTCGCTATTCTAGCACCACGACTCACCTTCATAATTTACCCTACCGTCGCTATTCTAGCACCGCGACTCACCTTCATAGTTCACCCTACCGTCGCTATTCAAGCACCTCGACTCACCTTCATAGTTCACCCTACGGTCGCTATTCTAGCACCTCGACTCACCTTCATAGTTCACCCTACCTTCGCTATTCTAGCACCTCGACTCACCTTCATAGTTCACCCTACCGTCGCTATTCTAGCACCTCGACTCACCTTCATAGTTCACCCTACGGTCGCTATTCTAGCACCTCGACTCACCTTCATAGTTCACCCTACCGTCGCTATTCAAGCACCTCGACTCACTTTCATAGTTCACCCTACCGTCGCTATTCAAGCACCTCGACTCACCTTCATAGTTCACCCTACCGTCGCTATTCAAGCACCTCGACTCACCTTCATAGTTCACCCTACAGTCGCCCTTCTAGCACCTCGACTCACTTTCATAATTGCCCCTTCCGTTCATATCCTGACCTTCATAGTTGACCCTCACCTTCATAGTTGACCCTCCCGTCGTCATCTACGGCTGCCTCCTTCATCATATCGCTGACCTCTTTCTCTGACAAAGGTTCTCCCATGTTCTGCATGACTGCTCGCAGTTCAGAGGCATCGATGAAGCCATCTTCATTTTTGTCGAACACCTTGAATGCCATCCTGACGGCGTTGTCTTGCTTCTGAGGGTCTTCTGCCTTCTTTAATTGCTCTACCATAAAGTTGTAGAACTCCTTGTACTCTATTTTACCGCTACCTGTAACATTCAGAAAAAAAACTTGTGTATGACACGCACCAGATAAATCCCATCCACATACAGATCTGTACAATCCTACCTCACATCCACATACAGATCTGTACATTCCTACCTTACATCCACATACAGACCTGTAACATCCTACCTCCCATCCACATACAGATCTGTACAATCCTACCTCACATCCACATACAGATCTGTACAATCCTACCTCACATCAACATACAGACCTGTAACATCCAACCTACCATCCACATACAGACCTGTACCATCTTAACTTCCATCCACATACAGACCTCTAACATCCTACCTCCCATGCATATGTAGACCTGTAACATCCTACCTCCCATCCACATGTAGACCTGTAACATCCTACCTCCCATCCACATACAGACCTGTAACATCCTACCTCCCATCCACATACAGACCTATAACATCCTACCTCCCATCCACATACAGACTTGTAACATCCTGCCTCCCATCGACATACAGACATGTAACATCATTCCTCCAATGTATATGTAGGCCTGTAACATCATACCTCCCATCCACATACAGACTTGTAACATCCTACCTCCCATGCATATGTATACCTGTAACATCCTCCCTCCCATCCACATGTAGACTTGTAACATCCTGTCTCCCATCCACATACAGACCTCTAACATCCTACCTCCCATGCATATGTAGACCTGTAACATCCTACCTCCCATCCACATGTAGACCTGTAACATCCTACCTCCCATCCACATACAGACCTATAACATCCTACCTCCCATCCACATACAGACTTGTAACATCCTGCCTCCCATCGACATACAGACATGTAACATCATACCTCCCATCCACATACAGACTTGTAACATCCTACCTCCCATGCATATGTATACCTGTAACATCCTCCCTCCCATCCACATGTAGACTTGTAACATCCTGTCTCCCATCCACATACAGACATGTAACATCCTACCTCCAATGCATATGTAGACCTGTAACATCCTACCTCCCAAGCATATGTAGACCTGTAACATCCTACCTCCCATCCACATGAAGCCCTGTAAAATCCTACCTCCAATCCACATACAGACCTATAGCATCCTTACTCCCATCCACATACAGACTTGTAACATCCTGCCTCCCATCCACATACAGACATGTAACATCCTACCTCCCATCCACATACAGACTTGTAACATCCTGCCTCCCATCCACATACAGACATGTAACATCCTACCTCCAATGTATATGTAGACCCGTAACATCATACCTCCCATCCACATACAGACTTGTAACATCCTATCTCCAATGCATATGTAGACCTGTAACATCCTGCCTCCCATTCACATATAGACATGTAACATCCTACCTCCCATCCACATACAGACTTGTAACATCCTGCCTCCCATCCACATACAGACATGTTACATCCTACCTCCAATGTATATGTAGACCCGTAACATCATACCTCCCATCCACATACAGACTTGTAACATCCTACCTCCCATCCACATGTAGACCTGTAACATCCTACCTCCCATCCACATACAGACCTATAACATCCTACCTCCCATCCACATACAGACTTGTAACATCCTGCCTCCCATCGACATACAGACATGTAACATCCTTCCTCCAATGCATATGTAGACCTGTAACATCCTACCTCCCATGCATATGTAGACCTGTAACATCCTACCTCCCATCCACATGTAGACTTGTAACATCCTGTCTCCCATCCACATACAGACATGTAACATCCTACCTCCAATGTATATGTAGACCTGTAACATCCTACCTCCCATCCACATGTAGACCTGTAACATCCAACCTCCCATCCACATACAGACCTGTAACATCCTACCTCCCATCCACATACAGACCTGTAACATCCTACCTCCCATGCATATGTAGACCTGTAACATCCTACCTCCCATCCACATGTAGACCTGTAACATCCTACCTCCCATACACATACGGACCTATAACATCCTACCTCCCATCCACATACAGACTTGTAACATCCTGCCTCCCATCCACATACAGACATGTAACATCCTACCTCCCATGCATATGTAGACCTGTAACATCCTACCTCCCATCCACATACAGACCTATAACATCCTACCTCCCATCCACATACAGACTTGTAACATCCTGCCTCCCATCCACATACAGACCTGTAACATCCTATCTCCCATGCATATGTAGACCTGTAACACCCTACCTCCCATCCACAAACAAACCTATAACATCCTACCTCCCATCCACATACAGACTTGTAACATCCTGCCTCCCATCCACATACAGACCTGTAACATCCTATCTCCCATGCATATGTAGACCTGTAACACCCTACCTCCCATCCACAAACAAACCTATAACATCCTACCTCCCATCCACATACAGACTTGTAACATCCTGCCTCACATCCACATACAGACCTGTAACATCCCGCCTCACATCCAAATACAGACCTGTAAATTCCTACCTCCCATCAAAATGTAGGCCAGTAACACCCAACCCACACCTCCACATACAGACCTGTAACATCCTACCTCCCATCCACATACAGACCTGTAACATCCTGCCTCACATCCACATACAGACCTGTAACATCCTGCCTCACATCAAAATAAAGGCCGGTAATATCAAACCAACACATCCACATACTGACCTGTCACATCCAACCTCCGATCCACATAAAGACCTATAACATCCTACTTGCAATCCACATACAGACCTGTAACATCCAACCTACCATCCAAATTTAGACCTGTAGCGTCCTACCTACCATCAATATGGACCTGTAACATCCTACCTCCAGTGCATATCTAGACCTGTAACATCCTACCTCCCATTCTAATGTAGTTCTGTAACATCCAACTTCCCATCCACATACAGACCTGTAACATCCTACCTCCCATCAAAATATAGGCCAGTAACATCCTACCTCCCATCAACATACAGACCTGTAACATCCTACCTCCATCCACATACAGATCTGTACAATCCTACCTCACATCCACATACATACCTGTAACATCCTACCTCCATCCATATACAGATCTGTAACATCCTACCTCCCATCCACACTCAGACCTGTAACATCCTACCTCCATCCACATACAGATCTGTAACATCCTACCTCCATCTACATACAGACCTGTAACATCCTACCTCACATCCACATACAGACCTGTAACATCCTACCTCCATCCACATACAGATATGTAACATCCTACCTCCCATCCACACACAGACCAGCAACATCCTGCCCACAGACCAGCAACATCCTACATACACAGACCAACACCATCCTGCCCGCAGACCAGCAACATGCTACTCACACAGACCAGCAACACCCTACTCACACAGACCAGCAACATCCTACTTACACAGACCAGCACCATCCTGCCCACAGACCAGCACTATCCTGCCCACAGACCAGCAACATCCTACCCACAGACCAGCAACATCCTACTCACACAGACCAGCAACATCCTGCCCACAGACCAGCAACATCCTGCACACATACCAGCAACATCCTACTCACACAGACCAGCAACACCCTACTCACACAGACCAGCATCATCCTGCCCACAGACCAGCAACATCCTACATACACAGACCAACACCATCCTGCCCGCAGACCAGCAACATGCTACTCACACAGACCAGCAACACCCTACTCACACAGACCAGCAACATCCTACTTACACAGACCAGCACCATCCTGCCCACAGACCAGCACTATCCTGCCCACAGACCAGCAACATCCTACCCACAGACCAGCAACATCCTACTCACACAGACCAGCAACATCCTGCCCACAGACCAGCAACATCCTGCCCACATACCAGCAACATCCTACTCACACAGACCAGCAACACCCTACTAACACAGACCAGCATCATCCTGCCCACAGACCAGCAAAATCCTACTCACACAGACCAGCAACACCCCACTCACACAGACCAGCACCATCCTGCCTACAGACCAGCAACATCCTACTCACACAGACCAGCACCATCCTGCCCACAGCCCAGCAACATCCTACTCACACAGACCAGCAACACCCTACTCACACAGACCAACACCATCCTGCCGACAGCCCAGCAACATCCTGCCCACAGACCAGCAACATCCTACTCACACAGACCAGCAACACCCTACTCACACAGACCAACACCATCCTACCCACAGACCAGCAACACCCTACTCACACAGACCAGCACCATCCTGCCCACAGACCAGCACCATCCTGCCCACAGCCCAGCAACATCCTGCCCACAGACCAGCACCATCCTGCCCACAGCCCAGCAACATCCTGCCCACAGACCAGCAACATCCTACTCACACAGCCCAGCAACATCCTGCCCACAGACCAGCACCATCCTGCCCACAGCCCAGCAACATCCTGCCCACAGACCAGCAACATCCTACTCACACAGACCAGCAACACCCTACTCACACAGACCAACACCATCCTGCCCACAGCCCAGCAACATCCTGCCCACAGACCAGCAACATCCTACTCACACAGACCAGCAACACCCTACTCACACAGACCAACACCATCCTACCCACAGACCAGCAACACCCTACTCACACAGACCAGCACCATCCTGCCCACAGACCAACACCATCCTACCCACAGACCAGCAACACCCTACTCACACAGACCAACACCATCCTGCCCACAGACCAGCACCATCCTGCCTACAGCCCAGCAACATCCTACTCACAGACCAACACCATCCTACCCACAGACCAGCAACACCCTACTCACACAGACCAACACCATCCTACCCACAGACCAGCAACACCCTACTCACACAGACCAGCACCATCCTGCCCACAGACCAACACCATCCTACCCACAGACCAGCAACACCCTACTCACACAGACCAACACCATCCTACCCACAGACCAGCAACACCCTACTCACACAGACCAGCACCATCCTGCCCACAGACCAGCAACATCCTGCCCACAGCCCAGCAACATCCTGCCCACAGACCAGCAACACCCTACTTACACAGACCAGCACCATCCTGCCCACAGCCCAGCAACATCCTACTCACACAGACCAGCAACACCCTACTCACACAGACCAACACCATCCTACCCACAGACCAGCAACACCCTACTCACACAGACCAACACCATCCTACCCACAGACCAGCAACACCCTACTCACACAGACCAGCACCATCCTACCCACAGACCAGAAACTTCCTGCCCACAGACCAGCAACATCCTACTCACACAGCCCAGCACCATCCTGCCCACAGACCAGAAACTTCCTGCCCACAGACCAGCAACACCCTACTCACACAGACCAACACCATCCTACCCACAGACCAGCAACACCCTACTCACACAGACCAGCACCATCCTACCCACAGACCAGAAACTTCCTGCCCACAGACCAGCAACACCCTACTCACACAGACCAGCACCATCCTGCCCACAGACCAGCACCATCCTGCCCACAGCCAAGCAACATCCTACTCACACAGACCAGCAACACCCTACTCACACAGACCAACACCATCCTACCCACAGACCAGCAACACCCTACTCACACAGACCAACACCATCCTACCCACAGACCAGCAACACCCTACTCACACAGACCAGCACCATCCTACCCACAGACCAGAAACTTCCTGCCCACAGACCAGCACCATCCTGCCCACAGCCCAGCAACATCCTGCCCGCAGACCAGCAACATCCTACTCACACAGCCCAGCAACATCCTGCCCACAGCCCAGCACCATCCTGCCCACAGCCCAGCAACATCCTGCCCACAGACCAGCAACATCCTACTCACACAGACCAGCAACACCCTACTCACACAGACCAACACCATCCTACCCACAGACCAGCAACACCCTACTCACACAGACCAGCAACACCCTACTCACACAGACCAGCAACACCCTACTCACACAGACCAACACCATCCTACCCACAGACCAGCAACATCCTACTCACACAGACCAGCACCATCCTACTCACACAGACCAGCAACACCCTACTCACACAGACCAGCACCATCCTACTCACACAGACCAGCACCATCCTGCCCACAGACCAGCAACATCCTACTCACACAGACCAGCAACATCCTACTCACACAGACCAGCACCATCCTGCCCACAGACCAGCAACATCCTACTCACACAGACCAGCAACATCCTGCCCACAGACCAGCACCATCCTGCCCACAGACCAACAACATCCTACTCACACAGACCAGCAACACCCTACTCACACAGACCAGCACCATCCTGCCCACAGACCAGCACCATCCTACTCACACAGACCAGCAACATCCTGCCCACAGACCAGCAACATCCTACTCACACAGCCCAGCAACATCCTACTCACACAGACCAGCACCATCCTGCCCACAGACCAGCAACATCCTACTCACACAGACCAGCAACATCCTGCCCACAGACCAGCACCATCCTGCCCACAGACCAGCAACATCCTACTCACACAGACCAGCAACACCCTACTCACACAGACCAGCACCATCCTGCCCACAGACCAGCAACATCCTACTCACACAGACCAGCACCATCCTGCCCACAGCCCAGCAACATCCTACCCACAGACCAGCAACATCCTACTTACACAGACCAGCAACACCCTACTCACACAGACCAACACCATCCTGCCCACAGACCAGCAACATCCTGCCCACAGACCAACACCATCCTACCCACAGACCAGCAACATCCTACTCACACAGACCAGCACCATCCTGCCCACAGACCAGCAACATCCTACTCACACAGACCAGCACCATCCTGCCCACAGACCAGAAACTTCCTACTCACACAGACCAGCAACATCCTACCCACACAAACCAGCAACATCCTTCTCACAGAGACCAACACCATCCTGCCCACAGACCAACACCATCCTGCCCACAGACCAGCAACATCCTGCCCACAGACCAACACCATCCTACCCACAGACCAGCAACATCCTGCCCACAGACCAGCAACACCCTACTCACACAGACCAGCAACATCCTACTCACACAGACCAGCACCATCCTGCCCACAGCCCAGCACCATCCTGCCCACAGACCAGCAACATCCTACTCACACAGACCAGCACCATCCTGCCCACAGACCAGAAACTTCCTACTCACACAGACCAGCAACATCCTACCCACACAAACCAGCAACATCCTTCTCACACAGACCAACACCATCCTGCCCACAGACCAACACCATCCTGCCCACAGACCAGCAACATCCTGCCCACAGACCAACACCATCCTACCCACAGACCAGCAACATCCTGCCCACAGACCAGCAACACCCTACTCACACAGACCAGCAACACCCTACTCACACAGACCAGCAACATCCTACTCACACAGACCAGCACCATCCTGCCCACAGCCCAGCAACATCCTACCCACAGACCAGCAACATCCTACTTACACAGACCAGCAACACCCTACTCACACAGACCAACACCATCCTGCCCACAGACCAACACCATCCTACCCACAGACCAGCAACATCCTACTCACACAGACCAGCACCATCCTGCCCACAGACCAGCAACATCCTACTCACACAGACCAGCACCATCCTGCCCACAGACCAGAAACTTCCTACTCACACAGACCAGCAACATCCTACCCACACAAACCAGCAACATCCTTCACACAGAACAGCAACATCCCACCCACAGACCAGCAACATCCTACCCACCGCTTGGGTCCAGCTCATCGGCCACCTGTTGGACCTCCTCCTCGGACAACGGCAGTCCAAACACCTTGAACGCCTTCCCAAGCTCCTTGCATGAAATAGTGTTGTCTCGGTTCTTGTCAAATATTCTGAATAATTCACGGATCTCTGCAAACAGAAATATGCAAGGACATGCAATGGCAGACACGTAGAGAGGGGTTCTGTTTGCCTAACGATATTTCTGGTCTTGTTAATACTGCTGCAGGTTTATCTCTCCAGCGCGGCGATGTGGGCCGTCCTTGCCACAGATGTTTGATGTTTCTAATTAAATGGTGTGTCCTTTGATGCGATATTATCGGGGCAATTTTGAACTCTTGATCTGAAATGAAGGTGATTATTCCTGTTATTTTCACTTAACGTACACGTGCCTAAAAGTGCACGATTACATTTCATTACTAGTATTTTGATGCCCATCAATCATAGCACCTAGTGGAAGGATCGGGCGTATTTATGGAAAATAGTTGCATTGAGTTGGGGCGATATCTGCGCGAAAAGGTTTTCCCTTGGAGGTTTCACAAGGCATTGGCATGGCAATATGGATCTTTGCTTCGTTGTGCGTTTTGAAACACCTGGTTACTTCATATATAATTCATCAACTCAAACACAAATATTCAAAATGTCGGGGAGGGGGACAATAAAGAAACAGCTGTCTTCTTGCTGTACAGCGTAATTATCTTGGTCTCAATTTCGTTGGGTCTCTGGCTGCCAGGATGTTTTAGGGCGTAAATGAAAATTTCAACTGTAACTATTTTAGGCCCTAAAGGGTTAAAACATGTTTGTGATCATAATTTGTCCCTTGAAACATAATATTGACGATTTGAGTAACACGTCCGGTTTAAATAATAATATGAATTTTCCGGATTTTAAGGGAAGAGTTATATTCCCAAGTTTGAATGATTTTCCTGCCAACTGAAAATAAAACGTATAAAAAGCCTGGACCTTTCTTATTTAGAAAATAAGCTTCTGGTGAGAAACATTATTTTGAACCGTAGACGAACACAGATAAATTTAGTCTTATTTCGGGTCCATTATGGCACCTACACTCAGTAAGACGTGACCCTCATTGGTCGTGACCCCTGCGGCTCGAAGTATGAGAGCAGGGTCCCGGAAGCCATGGTGATCACGGCGAGATACCAGCATCAATACATTTATCGCCACGAGAAGACGCGTAACTTTATCTCAGAGAAAACACCAAACAACCTCTTTCCGGGTCAGAATAGGTCCCTTGTCGCCCATGCTTGACAGCGAGCGGATGAGAGTGGGTATCCGGTGGTCACAATGTTGTGACGCAGATCGTTGCTAATGCTAATTCGACTGGTCATTTATTTGTAGAGCTTTGTACAGCTATGCTAATGCTGACTGTGGGGACGAATTGTGTAATAATAATAACAATAATAACAACAACAACAACAACATAGTCTGGCGCTATTGTGTCCCCCTGGTCCAATGCTCGTCTGCACGTGAGACAAGAAAGACAAATTTAACGTACTGAGGCCGGAGGTAGAGTGAGAGTGAGTGAGTATGGTTTTACGCCGCTTTTAGCAATATTCCAGCAATATCACGGCGGGGGACACCAGAAATGGGCTTCACACATTGTACCCATGTCGGGAATCGAACCCGGGTCTTCGGCGTGACGAGCGAACGCTTTAACCACTGGGCTACCCGACCGCTCCCACAACTGAGGCCGGAACCCCCACCTGATTCTTTGTATCGAAGATCTTTTCATTAACTGCAGGGCAAAGAAAATACACACTGGAGAAAAGGTTTTGACCAAGTAATAATTACAAATGTTCTCGAAACGTTACTAGTCAGAAAACAGTCGCCAAAACACTGCAAACGTGAGGTCCAAAACACAACCATGATCCCCGTATCAAAAACATCACCATCGATAAACAATTTCTTGTTTGTTTCATTTTTAGCCGCCATCAAACATTGGTGTTTACTTTCTTTAGCCCGGCAGTTAAGTTTGATTCTCAAAATCTGAATTTGACTTTATATCTTGGTTTGATTATAAGATTAAAAAGACAAAAAATAATCACTCACCAGCATCCATTTCTCGGTCCTTTCGCTTATGCTGCAGAAAAAATCAAATGTTCCAGTTACTTTTCAAATGCAATTCATGTATCGATCTGGCAACAGAAAAGCAAACGGATACTCCACATGTATGCAAGTAGGATAAACTCGTAAAACCAGATATAAATTGTTGCTTTGTTAATTAAATACAATTCCTTGAATATAAACAGTACAACATTACTTATCTGTTATTTCCGAAGAAAATAGGAGGCAAAGGGGTTTGTCACAGTCATAAATATGTTATATGCATCGCCGAGCCACACTGCTTTCTGCAACATACGATAACAGAAACCATACACCGTCCAATTTGACATCTGAGTTACCATGACAACCATTTCAGGTAGCTACTCAAAGTGAAATATAACCATTCGCTGGATTTTCTTTCCAAAATTCTCAAATTTCAACTTTGTCCAAACAAGCCTACCAGCGGTCATTGCTGGCAGATTTGCCTATATATGTCCATGTTCCCGGGCTGGATAAAAGAACATAGGGCTCGAAACGAGCAATGGAAATGCATATTGTATAGTCTACAGTTTCGATAAGTCATATGCTTCAACTTAATCAGAGATTATATTCAACATGGCGTTCTGAAACTTCTTTTTCTTTTAAATGAAGAAAAACACAACAGTAAAATCTAGTTAGTACGGACCTCGTCATTACGGAAACCCCATATTCCGGGCGAGTATTATTGTGAATTTCTTTACATGAGGATCATTACCCATAAATATTAAACATCAACGCCACAAGTACACAAAGTGTTCAAAATGCTTAAATGTGTTAATTCGGAAGAATTGTCTGTGAATTGTTCCGTCCTGATTAAAGAGGTTTCAGTGTATATGTTGCATGTACTATTTCCCAATGGACTGCTTGTATAGCTGTCTCTCTCCCGTTTCATTCATTTCATTACAGCAATATTCGATCTGGCTCCTTGGTTCGATAAGGTTCTTTAATTCAACATTTACATAGGGTAGCTGAGAAACAACACGGGCCCAAAGAGATCTCAGTACAGAGTAGGCTGCAAAGTCATGATGAGATGTATACGACAGATGTTGTGTCATGAGATGTACGGAGTTTACAACTAGCTGATGCCGAACATAAACGCTCGACGTGCATATTTCCAAATTCGACCCCTTTCTAGCAATCAATTTGTAATAATGATAGTATTGTTGCACTTTGTCTAGCCGGGGAACGTTGAAACCAGGCCCAAGGAATATTGACCTCCTTGTTACCAGTGTGGCTGTCCAGACACGAGTCACAGCGTATTGATGATCAATATACATTATTCAATAGTTAGGATAACAGTGTGCAGAATAGTATTGTACAGCTAAACAAACATACAGCTGAATGGCACATTACGGTGACCAGCATCCTGCCTTTAATAAGCTTTGTCAGTTGCAAATTTCTTTTATTATTTAACTTGTGTGTCATCAATGGTATATGCGACGTGGCAACCACGGCCGACCAATAGATCATGCATTAGCGACCTTCACCTACACCGTGTTCAGTCACATGGTTGTAAAATAAAAGAATACATAATGTTTGAAATATATTATTATATCCATTTACGATTAAATCGTAATTTTCATTTGCAGATGGAAAAGCTTCGGATTTTGTTTAGTATTGTGATTTTAACCTTAATGCGGTTGCCAGTTAGCTGGATGTTTGCTGGAACAATTAAGTGAATATCACCGACTTACACGGAATATCGCTCGGCCAACCTGGCGCGAGATTTTCCGTGGGGATGCGAGATTTATGCTTTCATTGCAACCGTTGTAGAAAGCCGAGCGGGAACGTGTCGCAGATCCACCGCCACGCATTCTGCATACAATGGAAGCTCGGCAAGGCTGCAGCTAGACCGAAGGCTTCAGGCCTGCATGACGCCATTATACAGTAAGAAAGGAGTTATGTGCGTGATGAAGCCAGCTTGTGACCTGGGGTACTGATGTGCCCGACACCTTCCAGGAGGAGAAGAAGAGTGAGCAAAGTCAGGCCGGAGACAATATTGGGGCTTAGCGTTCAGCTGTAAGCGGAGTATTAGACAGGTTCGCTGAGAGAGCTGTGGACGTAATGGGCACAGCCAATCTGGTCACAGGCACCGAGCTCCTAAACAACAATGCTCGATTTCTCTGTGACATTCTTCGCACTGCCAAATGAGTGTCGTAGAAAACACGACATGCTGTAATGGTTTATAACACTAATGGTTTATAACACACTTTCAGCTTTAACGCCTCACTCAGCAATATTCCAGCTATATGACAACGGTCTGCAACTAATCGTGTCTGGACCAGACAATCTAGTGACTGACATCATGAGCATCGATCCACGCAGTTGGGATACGATCATATGCATGAACCAAGCCAGCAAACCTGACCACCTGATCCCGTTAGTCGCCCCTTCGATAAGCATAGTCGCCTTTTACAGCAAGCATGGGTTGCTGAAAACCTATTCTTCCCCGTATCGCCACGGGTCTTATCAACTGAAAAAGACCATATGATGCGTATGGCAGAACCAATTGTCTTACAAGTTGAAACCCCAAACGTTGTACACGTGCAATAGTAAACAGTTTTGTTTTTGTAGTGATAACTCATAAACAGATATTGCCAATTAATAGTGCATACATTCGTGTGATTGTAGCATAGCAGGAACGCAGATGTATAGTCGCTAAAGTGAGTGAGTTTATCGCCATCTTTGAACAGTATTCCCGTTATATCTCGGCGTGTCGGTTTCATTTGGTAGGAAAGCCCAAATGATGCAGGTCTGCTGCCTTGGTGAAACCCACGAGTACGGGTATGGTGTTGACAAACCTAGAAACATGATCGGGGCGAACCGGGATTCGGGCACGAGATCATATGTTTCTGACGTGCCCAAGGGACGCAACAATTGCGGCGCCTTTGACGACTGGGCAACCCATACCCCTGTTCGCTGTAAAATCAAACTACGGTGTATATTAAGCCTATTATTAAACTAAATTGTTCAATACTGAAACAATATCGCTGATATCACTTGCATTGCAGTGTATTAAGACTAAGCTTCCATGGAGACTATTTCTACGGAACTGAACGGGCCACTATCTGCACTGCTATATGTTGTTGAACATTTGACCACTGGCGAATGAAGACTATATATACACACAGAATCAACATACCAGTGTACAACATGCAATCAGTTTATACAGCTGACACCTCCACCTGGTTAATATACACAGTATGTCCATATACACCTGGCCAATATGCAGGTGACCTAGACAGCCGGTTAATATAATAATTATACAGTTTGCCTAGATACACCTGCCAATATATAGATGACCTTAACAACTGGTTAATATACAGTTTGCTAATGTACACCTGGCCAATATACACGTGGCACATAGGTATACATTTGCTAAATTTACAAAAGGCCAATATATCCGTAAACAATGTAATGAATCAGATATCAACCTTACTAATATACCCCTGGTCATAACACACCTGATTTATATTAACACAGCCATATGTTGTTCCATGAATGACGTAATGGTCATCGCAAATTCTACCGCCTCCGTGGTCCAATGGTAGAGCGTCCGCCCGAAGAGCGGAAGGCCAGGAGTTCGATCCCCTGCCGCGTCATACCAATAGATGCTAAAAGATGACACTTGTTGTTACCCTGCCTGGTCCGCTCGGAGTCGGTATACTGTGTCTGAGTGGGTATTCATGTTACACTGCGGCATAGTATCTCAGTGGGATAGCACTATAAATCGGCATCAGCCCGGACTAGTACAAGCAGCCACACACACACACACATGAATGCACGTCGCTATATAAGTGCAATAATTTTGGAAGCGACGTTAAACCCATATCACCTCATCCATCACAAGCTACTCAAGGTAGTAGTGAAACTGTCAAAAGTATTATGGCAGACACATGGAGGACACTTTCACATTTAGCGCATCAGTGCATCAATTATGTACGATGCAGTTCCCTATTTTGACTTGTACCATAAGTTAAACGTGTTTTTTTCAGATGAACACTTGCCTTGCCTTTGCATGTGCTTCTGATGGGTGCCACCGGTTGGACAGGGTACGCCCACCTTTTCGCGAACACATCTCTTATCATCGCTATTTGATGGTGATTCATAGACAGATGCTCATGATATTGTCGGAACCGTACGATCGACTGTTTTTGACTGAGATTTCTTATGAATATGGAAACTGGGATTTTGTCGCTTTTATTATTAAAAGAAAGGATGCCCGTAGTTATGATATATTACAATCTCTGGATCAGAAGGAAGCTCTCTAATCGTGACAGAACAGTCCGTTGATCAGAAGGAAACCCTTTACCCGTGTCGCGCACCAGTCTATATATGTCACATACCAGAATGGTTTTACTTGTGTCACATACCAGTCTCTTTATTAGAAGGATGCCTTTACCTGTGTCACATACCAGTTTGTTTATTAGAAGGAAACCCTTTACCTGTTTCACACACCAGTCTATATATTAGAAAGATGCCTTTACCTGTGTCACATACCAGTTTCTTTATTAGAAGGAAACCCTTCACCTGTGTCATCTACCAGTATGTATATGAAAAGAAAGCCCTTCACTTGTGTCACATACCAGTCTGTTTATCAGAAGGATGCCTTCACCTGTGTCATATACCAGTATGTATATGAAAAGAAAAAGCCCTTTACTTGTGTGTCACGTTCCAGTCTGTTTATCAGAAGGATGGCTTTACCTGTGTCATATACCAGTCTGTATATTAGAAGGATGCCTTCACCTGTGTCATCTACCAGTATGTATATGAAAAGAAAGCCCTTCACTTGTGTCACATACCATTCTGTTTATCAGAAGGATGCCTTCACCTGTGTCATATACCAGTATGTATATGAAAAGAAAAAGCCCTTTACTTGTGTGTCACGTTCCAGTCTGTTTATCAGAAGGATGGCTTTACCTGTGTCATATACCAGTCTGTATATTAGAAGGATGCCTTCACCTGTGTCATCTACCAGTATGTATATGAAAAGAAAGC